GCACCAGCAATCCCTCTCAGCTGTCTTCTTAGGCACGTCAAGTATCTATTTTGTTTGACCATCCAAATAAAATGTCCCACCAATGGACCTCCCCATCTTTCTTCACTTGCACCATCACCCAGTGGATTTCTTCCACATGATGATGAACAGTAATCAAAATCTTTTGTACTTCTTGTGCTTGCTTCAGTAGGAGCTTTCTCAACAAGGTGAGATTGATTCCAATAGGGGTAGGCTGTAGATCTTACATATAATTAAATCATAACAATTGGTAAGTGCATAATTAAATCATAACAATAGATAAGATATAACAGGAGCTGAATACTAAAATCACATCTTATAATTTCAAAAAAGTTACACACCAAAACATAATGGTGATTTATTGAATCTATCATACAAGTCTACAAGTACAAAGTCACAGCAGGTTCTCACACAGGCACCTCTATTCCCTCAGGCCCATACTCTGTTCTCCAGAACATACTCTGTTCTCCAGAGTGCAGCTCTGTTGTGATTTAATTCTGACAAAATGATTGGGTATATAGTATATACCATAGCATTGTGCATTATTAAAACAAAGCCTGTGCCTTTACTGATGGTTGGGTTATAAGTGCAATTAACTAGTAAACACCAAGAGTGGAATTCCCTTTTAAATCTACTTGCATTATCTCAGGTAACCTTTTGAATTTCAGTCGGTAAATTGCTTTCATCTCCTTTATACTTTCTACCACAGTAAATTGCACCCACAGCTGAGAAGCATGCGTGGCACAGAATGTACCAGAGTTGCCACACTGATTAGCACAAATGAAGAAGTGGCGGTGTCATGTTCCAGTGGTGGAAACTGCAAGGAACTCTTTTAAAAATAGATGGCCAGGAACTAAATTAAGCCAAAGGAGGCACACGTATATGAGAACCGTTTATTGGTAACAAAGGAGAAAAATAAAAAGGAGTTATCCTGCTAAATACGACTAGAGAAGACAGAGCAAGAGGAATAAAAATGGGAGGGACAGGGACAGGGACAGGGACAGGGACAGGGACAGGGACAGGGAGGCATTACCACCGGAGGTCTGTGAGTGCTGTGGACATCCACGAGGCGGGGGCTGTGCCCGCTGCCTGCCTGGTGACAACACCTGCGATGGGCAACTGGACACGAGGTGAGGGGGGCCGGGCAGGAGGGCCAGGAGCCTGGACGAGGTCACCACGAGGATCACAGTGGTGGGCAGGCTCGGAGGTGGGGTTGGATGCAGGTGCTCAGGCAGGGACACAGAGACAAAGTAGGCAGGGTTCTGGTCAGGGACACAAGGAGGCAGGACATACGTGAGGGCGAGCAAGAGCCAGCCAGGACTGGAGAGTCAAAAGGCAGGACTCCAAAAGCAAGATCAGATAGCCCCCAGAGACTGTCAGAAGGCAAAAGACAGAACAGCCCCCAAAGAGCCCCCAAGGCTTGTGGTGCAGTTACTTTTTACACCTCCCAAAGTCCACCTGCTCACAGGAGACCACTGGCCCAGTCCAATATCCCACTGCAGTCCATTAGCAGAGACCTTTTGCCATCTGACTGCAGAGTGTCTCTGCACAGCTTCTGCGGTGTTCTCCTGATGACTGCCTGTCCCATGTGAAACCTGATAAAGTTGCCAGCCAAAGTCTCCTCAGACAAGGCTTTGCTCCAGCTTCTCCTCGATGCCTCCTGGACATGGCACACATGCATTCCTCCTCCATGTGCTCCTGACATCCATTGTTGAGGCATAACAAAACTGAATTGGCTCCTCACAGAGGGTCCCCACCTTGTAGGTCAAGCTTGTTTATATGTGAGCCAAATTGAGTTTTCATTACCCAATGTTGGTAATGATTGCTCCTCCAAGAAGTATAAACAATCCTTCAATGGTTAGCTTGATCTTCAGTGTGGGTGTATGGCATCATTCCCAGTATCACTCCTGGGAAGAGAAAGTCCTGGAGGGGTTAAGCCAGACACTGGCTCAAGTAGTTTAACAGCTCGGGCTAGTGACAAAAGTCCTTTCTCCCACTCAGGATATCTCTGTTTTGTCTCTTTAAACGCACCTGAGTTGAATAGTAAAGATCTCTTTGCTCTGTCAGGAACAGTTTGGCCTTGGCATTCCTCAGGTAGAATCTCAACCTCCAATTCATGAAGTGCTTGCCATACAACTGTTACTGCTTCTTCCACCTTTTTGATGGATGGCTCTTGTGATTAGAGTTGCCCTCCGTGAGTTAGATGCTCTCTGAATGTGCCTTACCAGTTTTGCAAAATTTAGCACAGCAGTGGTTAAAGGCATGGAATATCAAAACCCAGAATGTTTTTGTAACAAACGGATAGTGTGATGATGGCTCTTGCAAATGTTAAATGTATGTTATAAGATTGAAAGGAGCTCTGTTAATATCTGGTGCTTTTTTATCTAAGTTTTGTAATGTTAAAAACTGAGCTCCAACCACAGGGAAAGCGGAAGCACGAAGGACTGCCCAGACTCCGAGAGGCGGGACGAAGGAGGGGCTGGGTCGGAAGAGTGACATCCGCACATTGTGGAGCGGTCCGTAGCACGTATAAGGGTTGTTACGGGTGTGGGCGGTGCGCCTATGGCTGCAGCTAAACGACCCGCGCTGCCCCTTTTTCCTTATTCAGTCCCTTGTTGTGGTTCAATAAACCTTTCAAAAATTTAAAAAGTGAGGCGTCGTTTCTCACAGTTTTCAATATGAATTTTAATTACAGAGTGAGAAGCTGACATCCGCTTCTCGTACCTCCTCCTTTTTCCCGATCGCGTTCCGCAAGCTTTGCCTCGGCCTGCAGCTCAGTGTCCCTTTCCCGACCCTGCTGAGCTGCGAGCAGCTCCTGTGTCTGCAGCCTCTTGGAGCGCTCCAAGCGCCCGCCGGCAGCCTCTCTTCCTGCTCCTGCGCTCAGCAGCGAGCAGCCTTTCACTATCGCACTCGGCAGCAAGCATCACTTGCTACAAAGCCTATTTCCTCTCTCATTTAACTGATCCTGCAGTCCTTTCTCCAAACCCTGCAGAGATCCAATCATTTCTCCCCCGGCCTGTTTGTTAGTATACCTCTCCTTTTGGGCAAAAAATGGCAGATAAAACTGCTTTACTTTTGCCCTTCCATACATTTTGTTTGCTTATTACCACATTTATCCATTTAAGCCCTATTATCGGGACAATTCGAATTTCCATGTGCCCAGGAGAGTTGGGCACACCTTATCATCACTACCTGTCTGGAATTCACGGGTGACATCCCAAATGGGCCCCTTTAACCATGACATCCTGTCTGTGATGCCAAAAAAGGGATGTCGCACCCTTAAAGGGAAGGGAGCAGCCAAGATTCATAAATGCTTATAGGTGAAAGAAACGACAAAAGTTAGATGGTCTGCAAAAAATCACAAAGTTTTATTGTACACTTGGCATGGAAATTGGAGTGATAGTCCTTTGACCTACTATACCAGTGCAGGGAAGGAAGGCCAAACAGTAATTCACTGGAATCGCATTTTGAAACTTGCGGGAAATGCAACATAACAACAAAGAGAGAGATTGTGTGTTCATCCAAAAAATACCAGAAACCCTGACTTGCTGAAAGCCCTATGACCAGTTCCTGGCCCTGCCCCAAGGAGTATATTTTATCTTATAAGAACTTAATATAAAGTGCATGAATAGGCCAGGGAACAAGGACAAGCATTCAGATTCTGGGAGAAGACTGGCATGCACTACCTCCTTGACGACTACTTTGAACTGAGAGTTGGTAGAGCCATCTTTCCATGCTGTTAGGCAGATTCCCAAGCCTCAGAGTTAACCTAAAGGCACTGGCCTGTGCCCAGTGGGTACCTGACTGGGTAGCTAGTGCCACCTGGCCAGTTCCTAGGTTCCAACAAATTAGGAGCTTCCGGAAATAGCATCAAAGTGCTTGTCTGACATACCTGTCTCAGAACACCTGTGCAAAGAAAAGGGAATCACCAGGATCCAACCTGCCCTAGGTGCTGAATGCAGCAGGAGATATATAACCTTGCTCAGAGCCTGGCTGGGTATCTTATACTCACAGGTGCCAAGCCTGTCTTCCCTAAATGGGACAGAAGATCTACCTACAATTTTTCTGCAAGTACTGGCAGGAGAGGAGAGAGTTGCTTCTCTCAAAGGCAAGGAGAATTGCTTGCCTGTGACATATTGTTTGGAGGACACCTGTCTACTAGCACTGTCATATCTGAGCTTAATGATCTTCTCAGCCTGAAACCACTCAAGTCACTGTTACCATTCTCAAGAACTCCAGACTGCAGGATAATTTTTTACTTGGAAAGATCCTTTCTATCATTGCTAATGCTTAAAGCTCTGGCATATCACACCAGCGATATTCTTGTGACTTGCCAATTGGAATAGCTAACCCTTGTTTCAAAGTCTTTTATTTCTTCTGCTGTCACCCCCCTTTTGTAAACCTGTACACTGAAAGAGCAAACACTGCAAGGTATACATCACCACTGTCTGTATTTGGCTCTCCGATTGAAGAATAATGCATAGTACTGAAGTAGCGACTGCAGCAGCTTCGGGGAAAGCACGAAAAAATGCGATGACGTCTACAGGACGACATGTAGGCGCGTGGCCGTGCCGGGAAGAGGCAGGGTCAGCCCGGAGCCAAAGCCGGGCTCCGGGCAGCGGCTCAGCACGGCGGGACCCCGCGGAGCCAGAGCCAGACGGGAAACGAAGGGCAGGGGGGACACGAACACGGGCGGGGCGCGGCGGGGGGAGCCTGGTCTACCCGTCCTGGCCCCCACTGCTAGTCCCAGGGAGGCGGTGGAAGACCCGCTGAGTCACGGCGGGGGCGGTTACGTCCGCTAAAACTCGCGGTCCGAGGTCCTGACGGGAAGAGGGCTTCTCGGAAAGCGTCTCCCTCTTTCTCTCCTCTCTCACCCGTCCCTCTCCTCTCCTCCGGCGCCAGCACAGACCGCTCTGTCGGGTCCCGGCGTGGGACGTGTCCGCGGCGAGCAGCCGCCGCTGCAGCCCGTGCCCGCCTCGCCCATGGCGGGGCCGCGAGACGCCGCGGAGCGCTGCTCCTGCCGCAACACCGACTGCGTGGAGCGGCCGCTGCGCCGGCTCTTCCAAGGGCTGGCGAGCGCCGTGGCCGCCTACCCCTGGCCCTTCGTGCTGGTGCCGCTGCTGCTGTCGGGCGGGCTGGGTGCCGGCTTCGCCTTCCTGCCGCAACTGAAGGCGAACGACATCGAGGGGCAGTTCACGCCGACGTGGGGACCCGCCAAGGCCGAGCGCGACTTCGTGCGGCGGCACTTCCCCACCGACGACTCGGAGCGCTTCTCCGCCGCGCGGCTGCCCACCGAGGGCGCCTACGCCGCCCTCATCGCCGTGGCCACCAACGGGACCTCGGTCCTGGAGCCGGCGGCGTGGGCAGAGGTGCTGCGGCTGAACGCGGCCGTGCGCGACGCCGAGTACGAGCGGCTCTGCGCCCGCACCGCCGACGCCTGCGCCAGCCCCAACCCGCTGCTGCTTCGGCAGGGCGGTGAGCAACCGCCCGCCCCGGAGAGCCTCCGCTTCCCCCTCAATGACAGCGTCTTCCTGGGCACCGCGCTGGGCGGCGTGCAGACGGACGGCGGGCTGGTGCGCACGGCGAGGGCCCTGAAGCTGCTCTATTACCTGCGGGAGGACGGCCCCGAGGCGCAGGACAGCCGGCAGTGGCTGGAGAGATTCCTGCGCGACATCTCGTCCAAACTGGCGGAGCTGCGCCTCAGCTCCATTCAGGTAAGGCAGGGGCGGGTGCGGCCGTGCGGAGCCGCCGAGACCGAAGTGTCCGGGCAGCGCCGTCGCGGAACGGAAAGGAAAGGAGGCGGCGGCGGGAGACGGCGGGCGGCTTGCGCGGGCCAGGACAATGCTCCTCTGCCGACGCGATGGTTGGCCTTGCTGTGCGTGTGTACAAAGAACAAGGAGAAGAGAAGTGTTTTATCGTTTCTTGTTTCTTTTAACGGCAGGTGTCTTACTTTACCTCGCTGTCCAGACAACAGGAGTTTGAAGGAAATACCAAGAGTGTGATCCCGCTCTTCTCCGTAACATATTTCTTGACAATAAGCTTTGCAATCATCTCTTGCCTAAGGTAAAACGTCTCTAAGCTATGGCTCAATGAGCAGTGATCTCTGCTCTTCTTTACCTTCCTCAGTTGTTTCTGCTCTTGCCGAGTGAAAGTGTTCTTCAAGCTGCATTTAATAGTGACATTTCATAATAGGCAAAATGTATTTCTTTGCTTTTTCTTGTCTATCTATGCATAATTCCCAGCTGCTTAGATAGGGTTCATGGTAAGTACCAGATAAATACCTGAACAAGTGTTCAGTGTAGACACGACCAAGTTGAATGCTCACCTCCTAGAGAAATTAATCTTGTCCAATGCTGACACCTGGGATCTCTCATAACATCATTTATCAGGTGTTCTTTTCAGACAGGGTATTTCCTGTGAAATATTTGACACATAACTAAGATATTCTTTTTAAAATATTTTCAGACTGAGCTGTATAAGAAATAATACCTGGCTTGCGAGCTGTGGAGTGCTTTCCTCTGGCTTAGCTGTATTAAGCAGCTTTGGATTGATGCTCTTCTGTGGAGTGCCGTTTGTGGTCACTGTAGCAAATGCACCATTCCTGATTTTGGGTAAGTAGAAAATGTGAGTTGTATTCAGATAAAAAGAGCAGGGTGGAGTAAAAGCAACCTAATGGTGTCAGTCTTTTATGGTGTGAATGTCAGATAATCCAACATTTTCTCCTGAAGTGAGTGGAGGAGATACCCAGAGGTGCAGCCCTCTCAGAGCACCTACAGGCAGGCAAGCCTCTCAACTCAGCTCAGTGTGCCCACAGTGGGACTGGAGATGGGTTCTGGTGCAAGGGCAGCTTTTCCTAGAGGACAAGGTCTGATCTAGATCCACTGCTACAGCAGGAAGACTGTAAATGAGTAATGTGAATGGTAAGGCTAGCACCTCTGGCATTGTTCGAGTGTCCCTGGAAATGTAGCCAGGATGATTAATCCTCTGCAATATAACATCTGTGTACTAACCAGTCTCATTCAGCTACACAACTGAAGTGATGCACCATTTGTGCAAGCAGCTCCCCCCAAAGACCCAAGGAAGTCGATATCATTGCATCCTTGTTACACAGACTGCTTAACAGCCAGTGCTGAACTTTCCAAGTGCTGTTAGATAATGTTGCTGCAATTAGATCATGTTTCCAATTAGATAATGTTGCTGCAAACAAATTACTGCTTTTAAAATCCTTACTGGTCTCCTATATGATACATTCACCTGATGTTTTCTTGTACTTGGTTTCATGCTGAGGAAAACACATGGAGCTCCCAGGTTGA